GATGCCAAGCTACTGTGTGAAAGGATATTGTCAGTGTTATGCAGACACTAAAGCAGAGAAACATACCAATCAAAAACACCAGGAAGTGGAGTCAGTGAAAACGTGGGTCAATTCTGCCTCAGGGGAAGCATCCTCCAAACCTCCAGGCAAAAGGCGGGGGAGGAAGCCAGGGACACAGCTTGTAAAAGATTCACAGGCCAGTCCAGTTCGGCGTTCATTTAGGCAATTGGACTTGGCAAAGAATCATGCCAGGCAACTTAATAGTAGACGCCAGAGACTTCTTTCCCGGCAGGCAGAGATGAACACTCTGAAGCGCAAGGGAAGGAAACCACAATGGCTTTTGGACCAGTTGGCTGCCCGAGCAGAAAACAGTGAACCTCAACAAGACAAGAAACCAGGAAGGAAACCAAAGCAGTCAAATCTTTTAAAGGATATTTCAGTGGAGGAGCCATTAAGTGAAATTACAATGAAATTTTCCTACCCTGATAATGAAGTTGACCTCTCTTCTGATGTCCAGGCCTCACTGTTTTCCACGGAGACCCCTCATATGACTGAAAGCAGTACTGACAAAACTGCATCTCAAGAGAATTTGAAATGGCATTACAGTGCTACGTCTCTTATCGAGTTACTATCAGAGTCTATTCCATGTAGGAAAAAAGACTTCAGGGTGAGGGAGGAGATTGTTTTCCGGGAGCAAGGCCTTTCTATGGTTCGTAAATTCCACACATATTCAAGACCAGTTGAATTAGAAGGAATATCAGTCGACAGTTTACCCAAAGATGAAGTTAAGGTGGACCATAATGAATCCAAACAAGAAAGACAGTCTGATGAGCAACAGTGTGAACCGGCAGAGAGCCCTGGAGCTGCTTCACAGATTAAAAATGCTGTAGAAATCAAGGCTACACCAATCCCAGTTCTAAATGAGGAAGTATCCACTCCTGTTGAAGCCATTCTAGAGCCAGTTAAAGAATTCATTGAACATTCAAAAGTGAATGAGTTCTCAAGTCCCCAAAATGCAAACACCAAATATCCAGACTATGGTCCTTACAGTCCTATCAGTCCTCCAGAAAATACTAATTTTGATCTTCCACCAGAAGTGAAAAATCTTATCACAGCTGACGCCATTCCTGTACCTAATAGTACGCCAGAAAACGTGACAAGTCTTCATGAGAATGCTCCTCCAGTTCTCACTGAAGTGACGATGCTCCCTGATGATACAGCGGCTACTTTGAGTGAAAGTGAGATTGCCACTTCTTCTAAAATTGTGCATGAGAGTACGGAGATGCCAGTGCCGTCACCAAGACCTGATGAGACATCACCAGAAATGCACGCAGCTGTTGATGGTCTAGTCCCTGACCTTATGCCCCCAAGTGATGCAAGTTGCCAGCTTTCATTTAACTGCAGCCTTTGCAATAAAGAAACCAAATACCCATACATTCTACGGCATGCAATGTGGCATCATCGGATTGACAGAAAGTGCATGTTCTGTCACAAACGCTACACTCGTGGGCGCAGCCCGTCAGTGCATTTTAAAGTGCACATTCAGGAGCTGAAAAAGTCTAATGGGCTTTTTAATGAAAATATTTGTGTGAAGGCCACTGAGACCACCTTGCGATGTTCCCAGACAAGACGGTTTAAACGTGTGAATCCTGCCGTGCAGAATAGGTTGAGAAACATCAAAATGAGGTTAAACTGTACTTTGAACATCACAAATTTGCACAGGGAAGGGCAAAGTTCAGAGCCTAGGGAGAGATTGCGGACAAGGTTAGTTAAGAATTCAGATCCCCCAAGTACATTGGAAGAACAAAAGAAGAAAGTTTGCAAGATGAAGAGAAAACGTATAAGGAGTGTTTTAGCAAAGAGATCTCAGTCCATAGATGAGAACAAAAAGTTTTTCAGAATGGGACTAGCAAAGAAGAGAGCAAAGACTATGCAAGCACTAACTCCAGATGACAACCATACAGATACCAAGGGCAACTTGGCTCATAAGGTAAATGGAGTGACCAGAAAGAGAAGAAAAGTGAAAAGTGAGCCTGAGGCAAATACCCCTGATGAAAAGGTTCAGACATCATTACCACAGGACAGCAAAGTGAAAATCGAGAGTGTAGAAAGTCAGAAAGACAATGTCAAGACTGAACCTGAGAATATAGAAGTAACAAAAGACAAGAGCAAATCAAAAATGAAAAGAAAAGATAAAATGCTGGACTCTGGGCTGAAAAAGAAGAAGATTACTCCTGGAGATCAAAAAGAGGATGGAGAAGATGTAAAGAGGAGGAAGATGACAAATAGCCTGGAAGGCAGTTCTGAGAATCAGGAACCCAAAGACAATAATGCTGAATTGAAGGAAATAAATCCAATGGGGCATAAAAATGTGACTCCGCCAAAGCCCAAACAGCCATCCACACCATTCCAAGGAAAAAGAACTGGAGCATCTACGCATGTCAGATGCCCTGTGGAGATATGTACGTTTAGTGCAAAGTCAATCCTTGTCCTTTCACATGTGCTGTCTCACCACCATGGCGACAAGAAGGCGCTTTTGTTCTTTTTCAACTTTGGAAAGGAAAAATGTATTTTCTGTTGCAGAAAGTTATATAACCCTCAGCATTATTTTGACCATGTGATATGCCACAGAGATGAGCTGAAGTTCCCATGCTACCATTACGGCTGCAAGGAGAGGTACCAAACACGTATGGAGCTTAGTGAACACATGTTAGGCCATCATCCGTTGAGAGCATCGTGCTGCTTTCCTGGCTGCTCTATGCAAGTTGAGAGCAGTACGCTCCTCTATAGGCATGAAAAAACTCATTATAGACTCGATACAAATTTGGAAAGAAAATCATTCCCCAAAGAATCTGAACCAACAGGGCATGGAGTCCCTCAAAGCCTGGAAGATAGTATGGAAGCGCCACCAAATTCTTCAGTCAGTCAACAAATTCTGGGTACAGCCAATTTGAAGGGCCCAGCAAATCAAGATGATGATGGAAAACCTTTGGTCCTCAATAAAGGTTCTGTAAACTACAGTAGCAAGAACCATAGTCTTGTTAATGGGCATAGCGAGTGTGACAAAGTTGTTCCTCCCAAACCTTCAGATCCAGTCACTAAAGAGCAGGAACCACCGGTTTTAGGAAAACCTGTAACTAAACAATTCATTCGACCTCTTCCCTCAGCCTATCTGCATGAGTCTTACATTAGCATGCCAAAACGTAGGAAAGAACCCCAGGTGGGCTCAAAGTTATTAGGCTCTGTGTCAAAGCCTGAAAAACTGTCAACGAGGCAGCGTTGCTCTCGATGTTTTCAGTCTTTCAACAGTGAGGAAGAGCTGCAGACACATAAAGACAAATGCACATCCCTCTTTGGTTTTGATTCGGATGATGAAAGTAAGTACCTTTTTTATTGTCTTATTTTTATTTTATTTTTTTATTGTTAAATACTTTTGTTTTCAACAGGTGCCTCCTGAATTTGGAGAAGCAAGCCTCTCTACTGAGAAAATTGCTAAATGCTGCTGTAGGCAATCGGCATTCTTACATGTGTGCTTAACATCTTTTTCAGTGTCTCAAAACGGAACTATATCAAGAACTACATGGGAAATTAATTTTCACTCGGTGTAGTCTTGTATAACCGATCTGCTTTATTTTGGAGCGAAGGTCTGTTATCTCTTCATATTCAAAAAATCTGATTGATTTTTTTTCAAAGTCTATTGAGACTTGGGACTGTTTTTTAAAAGAAAATGAATACGTTTGTCTTTCTATAAAATGCACAACAGATGCATTTTCACTCTGTCATCACTTCATGCTACAGAGCTTAGCCTGTTCTCTCATTTTTTGCTTGTCTTTTCAATCCCTGGATATGAGAGGCCACCAAGGACCATGACACTACAAGAGGAGTTGGTCTGTCTTTAAGGCCAAGGTAAATTAAAGGTTTAACTTGGCTGTTTTGTGACAATGGGTCAGGTGTTTTCCAGTGTTGCATAGTGCTTTATGAGCAGAAGTACTGGATGGAAACTCGTAGGCCACTTCAAGTATTGCAAGCACACTCTAAATATGTTCTTTTATTATTTTTAAAAGACTTGATATGTGAACCTTTGTAGATTGTTACTAATTGCATATTTTGCAAATGTCATTAACTTGCTTTTAAGTCAGTGGACACTTGGGAAGAGTTAAAGACATCTGTCTTTAAATGAAGGACTTTGACTTCGGTTGAGAAATCCTAAAGAACTGTCAGCCTATAACTGGTGCTGCTGGAAAGGCCTAGTCTTTTAAACTACAGATTCTCCTATTAATGGAGGCGTGTATATGTGCCACAAAGCCTCGTTGAACATTGTTGTAACATATTCTAAATGACTTCTCTTTAAACTCAAGAAAATTGTAAGGGGAGGACTAATTTGTGTCTCAAACAGAGGCATGTTTAAAGCTGTTCCATTAATGAACAGTAACAGTCTTATTTATTCTTTTTTTTTTGTATCTTCTGTAAATGTTTGAAGAGTTTAAATAGTGTATGATTGGGTGACTGGGTTTATATATCAAGAGCTTTTTTGTCCTGATTAATAAACAAATTTGAAGGGGAGTTGAGTTTGTTGGTTTATTGTAAACAGTCAGGATTCGTTGTGTTGTATATCGTTAGCACTGTACACAACGTGATGCTTTTAATTTATTTACAGTTTGTTGTGTGGTGAAAATGAACTACAGTTTGCTGCGTCTCTGTCCAAGGGAGGCGCTGTTCACTGTTAGGTTAAGTTAATCGTAGTTGTTGCCAAGTCGATGTTTTCTGTACTGATTTTTTCGGGACACTTTGATCGACACAGTCTACTTTAAGTGTCTTTGTGTAAAAGAAATTGTAAGCTGTACGAGTAAAACCCACGCTGAAAGCTTAAAAGAATGGTTTTATACATATGTTCCTTCTAGTATACATTATATCATATAATTTATAAACACTTGGCAACCCCGACCCTCGACGTAATCGCGGCTGCAGCCATAGCAGCCACATTCAGCTTGGTCAACAAAGCGGACACCTAGCGAGCTAACAGTTATCCCAATACAATTTCAGCGAAAAACGGTCTAAAATTTAGAGTAAACCATTTCCGAGGACCGGTTTAAAACGGAACACACAGTTATTATTTACTTAGATTTTACTTCTAATGACATATGTAATTTCATAGTTTCATAGATCGTATGTAGCTACCCAGTATTAGCTAACTGTTTAGCCTTTCAGTGAGGCTGCATTGATTCGGGTTGCGAGCAAAATGAAACTAAACCGTATGGTCAGTATTGTAAACGACAGTGCTAATTAGACGATGCGTATTAGTTGACAATTTTTAGATAATTTTGCCCTTATTCTCAACTAGAAAACATAAAATGTCTGTACTCAAATCTTTACGAATCACTCGGATAGGCAGATAAAAGCGTGCTTGCAGATAACGGGTTGACTGAAAACACAAAGATAAGAAAATCAGCCAGGAACTGTAGTAATCAGCCAAAACGGCTGTCATGAAATAATAAATCCCAGTTCAAGCACTTGGGGTGAAATGTTCAATCTGATGGCGAACTGCTGTAATTGGTTGAAACGATGGAAAGAACCTGCAAGGTGAGTGTCTACAGCTTTCATCTCATGCTTGTGTCATAGAGACTGTGGAGTATTTAGTAACTTGTTTCTGAGCAGAACTGTCACTGAACTCTTATATTGTACAGTTTCATATATGTTATCTATATTTGCACAGTGGTCCCAATAAGCCACTCTTAAAGGGGTCATATGATGCGATTTAAATTTTTCCTTTCTCTTTGGAGTGTTACAAGCTCTTGGTGCATAAAGATAATGTTCTTTTTAGCAACATCATATGACCCCTTTAAAATTGCCATAGGTGATTAGTTTTGACCTTTACCTGTGCGACTGTCCTCTTTGTGTTCATTGTGTTTTATTTATGGCAACAAAAATTTAACTCGGCTTAAGAAAGTAATGATACACGAAGTACCTCTACTTAATGTATCACCTCTACCTCTAATATTTACTATTATTTTCTATTGCAATGGGAAGTGCAGTGTGTAACACTCAAAATGCATAATAGAAAATATTAATTGGCATGTATTTTAAAGGAATCGTTCTCGAAATTTGACGAGATTTTAGGCATAGTGACAGCCTTAGTTACCTTTCACTTTTAATGAATGAATGAAAAAAAAAGACGCAATGAAAGTCAGTGGAACAACATGGTTTGGACAATTTTGTAGGTGAAATATTGCTTTAAAAAGACAGCACAAGTAGTCAAGCAAAACATAATGCTAAGTGTAACAATACATATGAAGTTCAAAGTTCTGTTCACTTTCTGGTGAAAGTTAATGAAACTTGACAGTAAATTAATTAACACATCCCCTATAAATGTCATTTCTAAGAAAGGACAACTATAATTTATTTGCATATACCACATGGTTTATCTGATGCTGTAACATTTTTGCATAGATCCATGATTCATACATTCATACTTGCTCTTGTAAACAGTAAACATAAAAAAGGACTGTTAACTTTCTGTAAAAACCTTATTGAAGATTGTATTTGCGTGTGTATGTGCGTGACAATAATCAGGACAGACTTTGAACATATTTTGCTGCAGTGTTATTTTATACTTGTATTTATATTGGTATTTACTAGTGTTAGCCTAGTATTTGTTAATATTTTGAATTAGCTTATATTTTTATATTTTCAGTATTCAAGTTAAAAACTTAAATTTTAATTTAGTTTTAGTCATGTTATACTTTTGGCATTTTTAATAGTTTTTATTTACATATATTTCTATTTAGCTTTAGTAATTTTAGTACTTCAAATTTAACTTATTTGATTTCAGCTAGTTGCCAAGGCAAGATTTTCTAATTTTTTAAGGTTTTCAAAGTTTAAAGTTTTACATCAAATTTTTAAAATTTTAGTTAACAGTTATGCTGGTGACAAAGGTATTTGTGCCAATTGAATTATTTACATTTTCCACACAGTAGGTTCATCTTTTCTCATGAGGTTGCATTAGATCTGGTTTCATTTTCAGTTTTAGTATTCCCTCTTTCTGCATTCTCAGTGTTGATTAGCAGCCTTACCTGCACCTCTCACTGTACATGTTTGAACATGACTCACAATTAGGCAAAGGCTTAAATCCAAGTGTTAAATATCTGATTACTCGCATCACCTGCTGTGCCTGAAACAAGATGCTTGATAAGCCTAAATCTGGGTCAGTTGGTTGATCATACCTAAGATCGGTCTGCGTAAAATGAAGAAGTCAGACCCAAAAGTGCCAGTGATGTTACAGAGACTCTTACTCTCTGCTGAGAGCTTCTGGGCCCAGAGGTGACAGCTAAACGTCTCTAAGTTATTGTCTTAATTTCATTGGCTGAATGTAGTGTCCTCTGGCACCCTGTCACTGATCTTGTTTGGTAAGTCGAAATCCCCAGCAAATCCCTCAGATACAAAGCTGACCAGAGGCCAGGAAAGACAAAAGTGTGTGTGTATCGACAATAACAACCGAAGTCAAGGGAAAGCTAGCTGTCATCTTGATCTATTCCCAGTCTTGATGAAGGCCTCCTGGTTGCAGAGAACTGTCACCTGGATAGTGCGCTTGATGTCCCTGCGGCGCAAGTGCCGCAGTTAAGTAACTGTTTGTTTGTGTGTGTGTGTGTGTGAGTGCGTCTGTTTGGTAGCTGTATGGACTTTAGCTTTGTGTTTTCTTATGTGCATTGGTGGTGGCTGCAGGGTTTGTTTACGACGCCTAGCCTTTGTGTTCGTCTGGCATTTCTTTAGAATTAAGCATAGGTTGTTGATGGTAAGCAGAAATCCCATGTCAATTCAGGATATTTGTGTTACTCTACAGATGTCTTATTATGCCTCTTAAGCCTCCACTGGAAGCCTTGTAGTTTAAACAGCTGTGACTCCACAGCCCCTAACAGATTATAATTGAACTTACTGAATATTTTTGACGTCATTAGTGTAGGAAAAGGCCACATTATTTACTTTGTCTTTTTGTGCATGGTATTCTGAATCATCCTCTTTATCCCTGTGTGCTTTTGCCAGTCATGAGATGATGCATTATCACACGGCTTAGGTTGTCTTAGCTGACAGCTGTTCATAACTTAATGTCAAGTTTTATTAAATGTGAAAAAGTTTGAAGCTGCCTGCATGAGCTCATTAATGAGCGCACTTGAGTACACATTTTCCGTGATTTGCATTTTTTTAAATTTCTGTATTAAAAATCATTGTGATATTTTTTGGGACATGAAGTAAAAAAAAAAAAAAAAAATCAGGGTAATACATTTGTTCTTATATCAAAATGAAATAATAAAAAAAGTTGAATTAAAATAATGAAATTATTGAAAATAAATTAATATTAAGTGATTTGGCCTAAACTTTTATTAATATTTCTTAGGAAATAAATATAGTTCAGATAAAATATAATGTGGTGCAACTCCACAAAAACATTGAAATATTTAAAAAGCTAGTGATTAAAATGTAATGAATATAAAATATTTTGAACCTTTAAAAAAAACAATAAAGGTATAATGAACATTTTTTATTACTTTTTACTTGGTGGTTACAACATGAGTTATTACTTTAAACCTTTAAATTTAAATAAACTTTTCTTGAAAATCTTATGAAGGTTTTTTAAAATTGTTTGGAATCAACATGAATACACATAGTACTTTTCTATTAACTTAACACAGTTGTTTTAAACTAGATTTTTTTAAATTTAATTATCATGATCTCACTTGCTTGCCATTGACCTTAATATCTCATTCTAACCTGAGTGCACCTCAAGTGTTACAGAAAATCTTTTCTCATTATAAGGGCTGCCTTGACCTTAATGAGGTCTTTGGGTGACACATAATTAAATGAAGTTGTATCTGTGGTCTTGCAGGAAGGTGACATTAGTAATGGTTGGACTGGACAATGCTGGAAAAACAGCTACTGTCAGAGGAATCCAGGGAGGTAAATCTTCATCTTAATATTTTCGGAGTATTTTTTTATGTTGTGTTTTCAAGGTCCAGGGTCATTCTCACAATGTGTATATTTCTGTCATAGAATGTCCTTTAGATGTAGCACCTACAGTGGGCTTCTCAAAGGTGGACCTGAAGCAGGGCAAGTTTGAGGTCACAATCTTTGACCTGGGTGGCGGGAAGCGTATCCGCGGCATTTGGAAAAACTACTACTCTGAGTCTTACGGAGTGGTGTTTGTTGTGGACTCCAGTGATGTTCAAAGGATCCAGGAGACCAGAGACACAATGGCTGAGGTTCTCCGGCATCCTCGAATTGCAGGCAAACCTGTATTAGTGTAAGTTTTAGTGTATGTTCTTGCTGTTGAACGTGATTTAATGCTTGTCTAAAACTTAACGCTACACTACTGTTTAAAAGTTTGGGACCAGTACGATTTTTTAATGTTTTTTTTTTCTTTCTTTTAAGTCTCTTATGCTCATCAAGGATGCATTTATTTGATCAAAAATACAGTAAAAAGTAATATTGCGAAATATTATTACAATTTAAAATAAGTTTTCTATTTTACTATATATATTACTAAATATAATCTATTCCTGTGGTGGCAAAAGCTGAATTTTCATCTGCCATTATTACAATCTTCAGTGCCACATGATCCAAAACAAATGCAGCCTTGATAAGCATAAGAGACTTCTTTAAAAAAAGAATTAAAATCATACTCATCCCAAACTTTTAAATGGTAGTGTATGTCTACAGATCATCAAACATGGGAGATGATACATAAAACAGAAAGCATAAAGGCAGTAGATAAAATGAATATGCCTTAGGCTTTCATTTTTTTGATGACATTGATGATTTCAGAACTTGGAAAACAGAACTATGTATAACCCATTTATAAACTGTGCTCAGATTGGTTTGTTGTGTACTAACCTTAATCGGCAATCACTCAGTAAAGCTATAAAGGTGTACAGACCCAATAATCTTAAAAAATAAAGAAACTTGGGCCAGTTTATTCCGGTAATCAGCAATCACAGCTACCAAATTGGCATGTCTGACTTTGACAGTGATGTAGTGTCATTACGTATTCAAAAAGAAAATCATCATTGCTTGTCTTCAGTGATAAAGTTACTTTAATGCATTTACACCAATAAATGATAGGTATTTATGCTGATATTGTGCAAAATCCTTGCCTAGGGTGTATATGAGATATGCAGATTTGTGTTTAGAAAGGTGAAAAGTAAAATACCATATATCCACATACTGCATTAAGTGTTTGGATACAGGGGAATGTAATGAAAAATACGCAAGGTCTTTAATACTTTTTTTCTGGCTTTTGTCCTATTCTACTTTATGAAGATTGCACGTTGGGCAGCACATCCATGTTGATACATTTATCTTATTCCACCACCCTGTGCACACCTTGACAGTTTTGTGTGGTCCAGCTCTTCTAGCAGGAAATAATAGTAACTGACAGAATGATTTAAATGATACACCTGTAAAAAGACCTCAGCACATGGGGGCCCATTCTGAATTTTCCCTGGTGCCTGAGATAATAAAGCTATTGATGTGCTTTTCTAAACAAGCTGTCTGCAGTTCAAGTGAAGCCTTCAATTGGCTCCTTGTTCTTGTTGGTATTTGGTAATTATACCAACACCACAGTGTTGGATTCTTCACTTGTCTCATAATTTTTAAGTCAGTTACATAAAAATGCAGATTGGTCTAATTTGAATATGAAAATTAAGACTCATTACCCCTTGGCTAACTGCTAGGTTGTAAGACTACTTCTTAAAGGGATAGTTCACCCAAGCCATCCTAGGCGTATATGACTTCCTTCTTTCAGATGAATCCAATCGGAGTTATATTAAAAATTGAC